ATATATATATAAAATTATCACAACTATATATTTAATATTACTCCCACTAGTGTAGTATACTACTCCCTTACAAGTCCTAAGTGTGTGACCCTTTAGGTATCCATAACACTGGCAATGATATTAATATAAATTAATACCATAGATAATAAGCGGTATCTAGCAACACATTATTATCCCCAGATTATGAAAAAGACGTTCATCTCATCAATACCTTCTACGACACAAGACGTTCTATAACTATTATCCTTCTGTCCTAAATTACATGATTTAACACAAGGCATGGGATGTGTATCCTTGTATAGTTAAATCAGCTGTTACTGAATCTCAAGTAGACTGGCAGGGATCAGATATTTATCAGTCTCTAGATAGTGACATATCTGGGCGTGGCCATGCACTTTCCCAAGTCCTACTATTCAGTGGGCCCATTGACATTATACTTTTATACAGTAGAAGGGACAAATCCTGTATCTGTTATTCACATCTCTAAATATGCTTAACGGCATACCCAACACATAACTGTACGTCTACCAGTATTTCAGATAGCATTAGTTATGAATCAAAGCATACGGCCCCACATATCAGAGAATGTAATAACTTCAAGTCTGAGGATAGTTATAGCAAGGTCGATTTGAGAATACTGATAAACACATTACTGTCGATCCATGCAGTATTCTCAAGATGGGTCAATCCAGTCACATATTATCAATATAATATGCACCTACGTACAGATTAAGATATGACAATACCTATAGTCTATGAGACGCAACTATCTCATCTCGTACGTACTAGTCTTGATACGTTATGACGTCCGTATTATCATAAAGTGCGAATAGGGATATTCTAGACATAGCCTTCGTCAAGAAGTAACAGTCTCATAATCAGAACATCGTAGTTCTCATCTATGTTATTGAAGCGCTATTGTTGAGGACTTGTCGTGAGGTCCAAAACAAATTAAAAATTTATAAAAATAACCTTAACTAACCCCCAAGATATAATCAAATAAAACTATAGCTAGGGCAAGTAAGGGTCGATCCCACGGAGAAAGTTTGTACTTTTGAAATCAAAATAGCATGCAAACACGTTGTCACGAAATAAAATAAAAAACTACACATATAATAAGACGTATAAAACTTATAATAAAACTTATAACTAAAAACATATAAATATAACTTATATAAACAAAGAACTTATAATATAACTTATAAACATAAAACATATACTTAAGATATACTAAAAAATATATAAAAACTTATATTTATAACTTAAAACACAAAAGGGGGGGTTTGAATAAAGAGTAAATATTTTTTGGTTTTTTATATTATCTTATTTTTTTTTGGATTTTTTTTTGATAAAATGGGGGAAACAATCTCAAAAGATAATCAACTTCTCCAACAAAGGTAACCCAAGAAACACCGCCAAGAACCCAAAACAAAATTAAAAAGAGAACGGACACAAATAGAACATTACACGTATAATAGGCACGTAGACAATATATTACGTAACTTACGCACTTAAGAATAGAAAATAATTCAAAGGCTCGAGTTGATTCATATCCTTGACCACATATAGAGGATCGTCAACTCTCTATAAGGTCCGGAGTCAAAGATTCAAAGGCCTTTTGGTTACTTTGAACCCCCACTCACCTCAAGCGCTCAAACAATGATTCCAAAAGATGAAAAAGTTTATAAAAGAGCGAATCTTTCTTTCATTCTAACTCCCATGCACAAAGTATTCATGAAGAACATTTGATACACTTTAATAAACTTTAACGTCTAATGATGAAAATATTTTGCAGGTCTCCTTGAACTACTCAAGCATAAGAATTGTAATCTATTCACATAAAAGAACATTACATATTTTCATTAAATCAAGAGTTGTTTATTGCGCTTAAACAATCCCAATTTTTATGAAAATAACAAACAA